AGACCTGTTCCCAGGGAGGGCTCGGGGGGCCCCTGTAAGGAGCTGGCAGGGCTGGAGGGTACCTGGCCCCCCGTGCATCCGGTGACGGACAGGATGGAGGTGACAGTGCTGGCAGGGGACGTCGAGCCCTCCGCTCCCAGGGACTCCCCCATTCATGCATGGTTGGCTCAACAGGCCATAATAGCTCCATCCATCGGGGTCAATCCGGGTGCCTTTGACACATGATAGACAATAATTGCTCCTGCTTAGAGACTTTTTAGTTCATGGATCATTGACCTGATGGGCTGTAACAGCTCCGGAGGAGGCTGCACACCCCTGAGCTCGAACACCCTGCGGAGCCAGTGGCCATGTAAAACCACGGCACGGGCACGGGGCCGCGTGAAATGTGTTCTCCCCAGAAAAACGCTCCCCAGCACCGGTGACCGAAGAGCCTGGAAGCCCCAGGTCACAGAGGAGAGGCTAGGGCAGGAGGTGCAGCACCAGGGGACAGGACCAGGATGCACGGGGATGGAGCTGCAGGCTGGATCTCCCCCTCTCCACCAGCAACTTCCAGGTATATGATTTAATGAAAGGCACAATAAGAAGTGAAACAATTAGAATTTCTGCCTCATTATCATGGTAATCTTATCAGTTGGATAATGAGGTATTAATGGAGATTTAATGTGCCTCTCATAACAGAATCCCTTGGAGAAAACACATAAGGAAATTGCTGTAAATCCACTTAATGATGGAAAGGTCCCCAAACACCATATTCCAGAGGATGAAAAATGCTGGATGCAAATGAGAGAATCAAGGTCAATAACACTGCGGGGACCGACCTCACGGCAACATCACATCGCCGCCACGCATCCGTCCCGGTCCCCCCGCTTCGCCGAAGGGACCGGGACGGATGTGTGGCAGGCACCGAGATCCTCCTACCGTCCTGTGGCCGATGTGAACGTTTCTTAAGAAATAAGCAGCCAACTCAGCGGTGCATCCTCTGCCAGGAACTGGGTTTTGCTTCTTTTTTGCCGCTGTCCCACTCCCCACGAGCGGTCAGCGCATGTGTGAAGGGTCCGAGGATGCAACTGGCAGCAGTGCTGAACAGAAACCACGCGGAGTTCGGGGTGAGTCGTTCACGCTCCAGCTGATCGCACCGGAACAAGGCGGAAACACCAGGCGGTGAAACTGCTCTCCTTTTAATCAGTTTTTTACAGAATAATACATTAATAATCACGTTAGAGACAAGATGGGTTTCCTGTATACAAGATTGTGCAAGCTCCTTAATTTAGGTTTATCAAGGCTTTACCAGTTTCAAAGAGGAGAGGCAGTACAAAGCTTTTAAAGAGAGGTAAAGCACAATTAAAAGGTACAGAACACACACTACTAACTCAGCAGAGATTCATTCTGAAGTAGTACAGGCTCAACCAAGTCACCAGCTGGTACCCAAACCCAGGTATTCTTCCCCCTCCCTGTCCACAGCTTTCCCGCAGCTCCAGTTCTCCCTCCACGCTGCCGGCCGGAGGCCACCCAAGTCACACTCATGCCAAAGACACGCTTCCCTTGCCTGAAGCTTGGCTCTGAGCGGGTCTGCCTCCTCCTGCTGCTCCTCCGCTACCCCCTTCCTCCACATCAGCACGGCATCAGCACGGCAGGGAGCTCTCAAACCTCCGCGAGGGTTTGGCTGAACAGAACACGGATGTTCTCAAACAACACGAACCAACACCGTGCTCACCAGAAACTCACCGACAGGAAACAGGATCACATTTGTGGCTTTTTTTCCTGAAATTTATGGCAGTTACATTCAGCATTTGGTAGGGTAAGGTCTTCAAAACAAAAACTTTTAAACTCAAATCTTGAATAGGCCACACGTGTTCCAATTCTCCTTAAAGAGGGTTTAAAAATGCTTTAAAGAGAAATCTCGTTCAGGGTAAGGAGCAAAAAGGAACCTCCTAGGGATGAAAACACCAGCCCTTTCCTTCCACTCCCCACCCGAAAAGGGAAAGTCCCCCCTATAACACCGACAGCCATCGTTTGATTCAGCCGCTCCTCCAGACACGCCAACAGCCTGCGCTGAAGTCACCCACCGAGCCCTCGGTCCATGACTGCAATCCACTAACGGCCGCTCCCGCCCTCCCCTTCCCAAAAACAGTCCATTCGTCCTTCACTGGTTGGAGAAACTGAATCAACAGAAAGCACCAAGGTCACAGCCACGGGGACACGGGTGGCACCTTTTGGTCCTCTATGCACTGTCTTTTCGCCGTCACTACTGCACACCAACACCTAACAGCATCGCTCCCTATACAGGGAACTGATCATTTTAAACCAAAACGTTACGGGACACCAGGGGAAAATAGTAAGAGGACATCACAGGGAAGTTTTTAATTCTTTGGAAAGCCTAACGCTCTACCTATACCTACCAAGACCACACAAAGGACTGTCAGAATACATAGAAAAAGAGAAGCAAAGGACCATCTCGCTATGAAGACTCTCGGCTCATCTGGGGCTCGTTGAAACACTTACTGGTTTAAAAATAACTAAATAATAACAACTAAAAAGACTCCAGTTCTTTTAAACATTTTTCTACACAGAAAAACAAAGTGATAAAAATGGTGAAGGAAATGGTTCTTGCCCCTTCCATAAAGGAGAGAAAATCTGAAAGATCTGATGGTGCTGATCACACCCCGCTTGCCAAGTCTGCGAACAGGGTCACTACCGACTTCAGTGTCTTTGTGCCTTCTTTCAGGGTTGTACAAATACTCTCCTCAACCAAAACCCAAACCACAGGACTAAGAGAACTTTCATACATCCGTCTTAACATCCCAGATATTCAAGTAATAATTAAATATTACAGGACACTTCAATATAAATAAATTTATATTGCTTTTAGATATGATCTGGCCATATCTTCAAGGGCAGACTTGTGCTTCGCTGCTGAGTGTTATTGGTCAGGGCTGTGCTTGCAATATTAAGTTACGTGTTCAGCACCAAAAACCCATCAAGGCTAAAGAACTAGAATATTGCAACGCTACACAGACTGAGTTACCACAGTAAGGCAGATCAGAAGAATTTTGTTTCTACCAAGTATTGCTCCTCCACACAATCAAGTCCCTAATAGAGGAGAAAGACTATAAATAAAAGAAAAAAGTTACTATCCCACCCTCTCACCTGTGATTAGTTTGGCAAAAATGCTCTAGTGAATTACATATTAGAGTCCTAGAAAGTAAGTTTCTTTAATTATGCCTTGATAAGTAGCACAGCCAAATCAAGCACTTGATATTTTACATAAATTGCTCTAATTTCAATTAACCAAATGATCTTCCCAAGTACTAGTTGCTTACAGGTTTTCATCATCAAAATGCACACGCGCACACACACACACACACAAATAATCATTCATATTTTGAAAAGAATGTGAGTAAGATTCTGTTTTCTTTACCACTCAGAGACACCAAGTCTTAACACATCCCTCTGTCAGAAGTGCAATGAACACTCTGGGAAGAGCAAGAAATAATACTGACATGAAAAAGTTAAATGCTCGCTGTTCTTTTTTCACTGTAATTCTAGCTAAAAAAGAACAGCAAGTGTTTATGTACAGATAACAACCACTGGCCATCACTCAGACCATCTCGCTCACGAAAAATCCATGTGGCGTTGTGCATAAAAACTTCTTTAAATTGATAATTGTCAGTTTAAGGGAAAGGTGGGGTGAGAAATCTATAAAACACCCTGAACTGATGTCATGATATGTTTCATAAAGAACAGTGTTATATTTTAAAATATTTTATATGAACAGTAAAACTTGCACTGCTGCATAGCAGACAACACGAAGAACATTTAGTAAAAACATTCACTGAAACCCCTGGCATATGCATTTAATGTCACTAATCAAAATATATATTACAGTCCAAGGTTCTGTTAAGGATCTCTGTTTGGGGTTTGTACAGTATACACAATATTTCAGAAAAAAATATTACAGTAAGGTATTTTATTTCTCGTTTTTTATATTAGACTTATCTATTGTAACTTACAGTCCCTCTCCTCTACATATCCAAACCTGCAGAACACCCTAATGCCCTAGCCAAAAGTGTTCAGCTATCTAATAAGCCCTGTCTACTATAAATTCCAGTTTTAGAAATTTCAGTAATCTTAATTACATTTTAATAAATAGTTCAGTTTGCCCTTTTTTAATCTCAGCCTTTTGAGGAAGTCCTTTCACTACCAAAACACAGTATGTCACAACCTGTTAGAGGTCAGAGAGGCTTTTGTTTGTTTATTCAAAGGATCACAAGTCCAAAGATAATCGCAATGCATTAAATATAGTTATATAATATTTACACTGTCCTCTCAGGTTTTAAATTTAGGTGAAATACAATTGATAATGTCAGCTACTACAAACTTTCAGTGTGGCTGGGGTGTCATAATAAAAGGTGTATTAAGCTAGAAAGTGGTTGCCCTGATTCTTCTTGTTTCAATTTTGTATTCGAAATTAAATGAAGTGAACTATTCACGTGAGTAAGAATTCAGGAAGAGGGGTGGTGGAAAAGCATGAAGAATTTTCTGCATGTTTTTGAGATTCCAAAATACCTGAAAACTGTGGTCCCTTTTGCAGTGCCAGTATCTATAGGGGAGAGAAAACGCAACCAAAAGAGAAGAGGAAAATCTGTTAAATTAATTTGATTAGTAAAGGTGTGTTTTAAAATGCCTCAGTTCTGTACAGTATTATACAAGGAAAGTCCCTTCTTCAGCTTTTGCAGCTGTTGTACATTCTTTCATACTCTTCTTCTGCTAACAGTCTGCCCATACGCGTGCTGTTTGAGTTACTTGCGATCATCGATAGTTTTAATGAATTCAACTGCTGCTGTGAACTGCATCCACCAGTAGGATTCTTCTCCAGATAAACAGTTGGCATAGAAACTACTGATGTACTGAACAGTGGACAGCAAGCAAGGTGGATTTGCCTGGGGGTTAAAGAAGAAAGAGATACTCACAGCCTGTTTGCCAAGCTCAACATAAAACATTACAAGATACAGAACAGAAACACAATTCCGTTGTGCAGTGATCTGACACATTTGTAATACGTGCTTATGCAACCTGTCTGTAGGGTAGTGGCTGTTTGTCCAGACCACCCCCATTGCACACACTCAGAAGGCACCAGACGTGATGAAAGGAGCATTTTCCAACAAGGAAAAATGACTAGCAGGCCCAGAGAAAGCAGGGAAACACTGGCAGAATCTATAAAAGTCAGCAAGGATTTCAACACGTGGAAAAGCCTATTGTTGTAGCATCTCATACATGACAGCCCGTTCTCCCAACACTCATACGCCAAAAAAGGTCAGCAGCACAATGCAAGTCAGTCCTAGTGTGGATCTTGGCCCTGAAAGAGGACAACATTAAGCAGGCACAGATGACAGATGCTGGCGCATACCCCTCAAAAACACCCCACTCCACACACAATGCTTGCACCACAATTTCCTTGGTTCCAAATGCAAAGTTTGCTTGGATTCAAAAATCGCAACTGTGATCGCATTTCTAGTGTTTCTATTTAAATCCGCCGAATTACATCAGGTTTAGAGTCTAGCATGCTCCCAGTTACCCAAATGCGTTCTTTTTCTTCCTCAAATTTGCTTGTTCATTACAAGAATTAACTGGGGTTTGTGATCTTTGCAGAAAAACTCACCTTTATGAGGACGAAGACCAGAACAGGAACAAAATCATCTGCCCCAGGTACTGAATCTTCATTTGCCAGACTAAGCAGGTTCATGATGGTCGAACACATTCGCAGGATACACTGTACTTTGTCTCGGGGGGTTTTATAAGCGCTTATTGTGCGGATTTCAGACTGTGCAGATGGCCACGGTGCCTCCCGGAGATACACCTAGGAAAAAAAACCACCATGCTGCCAGTTCTTGTTTGTTCGAGCTACTATGGCGCACCACAGCGGAGCTGAAGTACCAGGGACTCGCAGGCAGAGCAAGGCTCTGGTGAAACTGGAAGCTTTAGCTGGAGATGGTTACACTACACTCAAAATGAAGGTGGCTTCCTGCTGTGTTATAATAAAAAACAAGGAGCCAGCAGCCCATGTGCAGCTCCCATAGCTAGCCTGCACTTCTTCCCGACTTCTCCAGCACAGCGTTTCAAACGAAGGCAGAGCTGTCGCTCTCCGTCTTCTGCATAAGCAGCTTCAGGCACACTCACTGGTGTGAGCCATGCAGTTCAAGTACCAACCTGAGAACTAGAAGGCTGCAAACATCCAGCCTCTGACAGACTTCTTAAGCCTACCAACCTGCTTTTAGTTATCCCATTAACTCTGAGAAAAGAGAACGCACTGGGCAAATCCACAGATCTGTGAAGGTTCCATTAACGCTGGCTAGTTCTGAAAGTTAACCTGGCAGCTGTAAAGCACAGCCATGGCATACGGATCCCATTCAAATCCTTTATGCTTCTCATCTTGTGATAATTTGCTTCAAAAAGCAAAGTTGCTGCATCCTATAGAAATGCAGTATTATTAGTTCTTAAATCTTACTATCAGGACAGAGGTGTCAAAATCAGAAAAAAAAATTATTTGGAAGGATCAGCCAGTGGAAGCTACCAAAACATGAGTACAGGATGTTTTTCCTGCAGGATATTTCAGCTGTCGCAGACAGAAAAGCAACGCTTCTAAGTGTAAAACAAAACAACCCTCTCCCCAACCCAAACACAACCAAAACCAAGCACCCTGACACACATATGAAAGTGGTGGAAAGGAGAAGTTGTTACCTCAGGTATCTGAAGTGCTTTATGGTTTGCAGTCACTACTTTAGATAACCTCTGTATGTGCTCATGAAGGACCCTGCAAACAAACACAAAAAACAAGAGTGAAAAGTAAGCAGCAGCCAGGAGCCCCCTGGGGCTTCCCACTAGTTTTCAGTTTGATACCACAAGAGAGATCCTCAGGAACGCGTGCAGTCATGATGGTCCTACAGCGAACGGACACTGGGTCAGGAAGAGATGCAGAAGATTTTGCCATACAACCAAGTACAACCACACAGCCAGTAGAGCATTCAAACCACATACGTCCTAAGCCACAAAAAAACCCCCAAAACCCCAAATGCACAGAAAATACTGCACCAAAGCAGAAAATGGAAGGAGTGAGTCCTGGAGCAGATTTTGATCATTCTCTCACATACACACTTGCAGATCTGAAAGTCTGTATCCCAAGTCATTACATTTACTATTTTATTCTGTTCTAGCAGTGTGTCGCAAACACAAACTTTTGCCCATGATGCTAAAGCATTTCCTTGTTCTTTTACAAAACATTCTGAAAGAAAACATGAGTTTGTGCGGCATGGCTGATTCAGTCAGTCTGTCACGTGAAGACTGCACGGCTTGCATCTGCACCAACTGCAAAAGAGAAACCAGGTACTTCAAATTACATTAACTTACTGGTCACGCAAAATATCTCCATCCTGATTAGGGTAGAAGGCAAGTTTGAAAATACGATTCATTACACTGCGTTCTATAGCTAATTGTGCGTCCTGAAGCTGTTCTTCACTGGCATTCTGCCATATGGCATCCTGAGCCATAGCCCCATACAGGAACTGAAGAAAATCCTCAACTTGGGCTGTTTTATCATCTGCTGCTGTGAGCTTCTGGAAATCTGATAAAAAGCAAAAAGAGTGAGAACATCCAGTTAAGTAAAAAACATTATTTCTGATAGGTTTGTCTAGAAAGAGCAGCCCAGAATCTACTTCAGACTCCTTCCCAGGCAGCACTGAGGCTCTGTTTTGCCAGTAAGGGAAATACAAGCAGGAACACTTGAAATAAATGGAGGAATTAAAGAAAAAGCATAAAGAACACATTTAGCAAAGCATATGGTCAAAATACTCTACTTGATACTCTGTTAATCGCTTCCTCTGCAGTACCAGTTCCTGTGCCTTCTTTCCACCCACCCACAGAGATAACACCCAGAACAATCACCAGAACAGGCGCTGGTAGGAACCAGCGCACGCAAAGTTGTCAGATGCTGAAAGTGGGGGGGCAGGCACAAGGGAATACAGATAAAAAGCCCACGTGTACCATTTCCTAACCCTACCTTTATGAAGTATGCATAGTCACAGCATTCATATTTATCGACAAAGTACAGAATGAGCGATGCAGCCAAGCTAATGCAGCATGACCAAATCACTGGCCATTCATCGGCTTCATATTTATAGCACTCTGCACCAGGAGACAGCTGCCACTCACATCTGCCAGCAGCCTGAACGCCACAGTTGCCAATTTCTCTTTTAGATCATCCAGAAATAGCTGTCTCCTTTCTGTTCCATGAAAGGGCTTTAACTCCTTCCTGGGTCACTGAATCTTATTACCAGAACTTTAATCCCAGTAGATGTTAAGTTCTCATACTCGTTCCAGCCTATTAAGGCACATTTATTAAGAGCAGCGCTGCATGCTCCAGGAGCAACAAATGACTCCAGATTTCTTATGTACTTCATTAAGTCAGGTATGTGCATAGAGTACACAGAAATAGTTTAAGTGACTCTGTTTTGAGAGAGTCGTATTCCTGGGGGCAATACCCCTTATGCTACGATATTTTTGAATCTTTGATTCGTGTAACTATTCCTCGTGTCTTTCACGGCACAGCCACATGTTCTGCACTGAGGACTGAATGCTGCAACTTAATTTATCATTTCTCAGTAGATCTACAATAATGAATGGTATTCAAGCTTCTTCCATGGGGCAGATGCGAGATAATAGGATTTAGCTTAACTTTTTAGGCCAAGTGAGGTCAAATTACATTCATTCCCTTAGCCCATGCAAAATGCAGACAGTTACTGTGGCTTAGCTGCCACAACATAGTGTTAAGTCACAGTAATCTGTCTATTTGAGCCACTAATTCACCAGCTGAAATGAAAACTGTTTTAGGAATCTGCTCCTCAGATCAGAAGTTGTATTTTAAAACATTAGCCCTACCCAGCATCTAAATACGGAGTAAAGGAATCTCAACATTCCACAGTCTGCATTCATCTTACCTTGAATAAACTCCCTGATTTTCTTTTCTTTGCTCTCTAGCAGTAACCTCACACATACTGTAGTGAAGTATCTGTTGGCCACTTCTTTATCTCGCAGAACTCTCTGCAACAGCCTTTCCAAGTGTGCTTGTGTCGTTTGCAGGCCTTGGCGACATCGAGTTAAATAAGCGATATACGGAGCTCTTTTCCTAAAATAAAGCGTGCTCTACATTAGATTCATAACAAACATAGAGGGTAATAGCTTTACACACTGTTAAGTTGTAGTGCAAGAGGAATCTTCAACCTGTTGTTTTTAAAACAAAGACAACACCTGAATTAAGAAGTTCCCTCTTACAGATATTCCTCTGACTGAACTCACTGCCCTTTCAGCACTCCAGAGCGCAAGACTAAAGCAAATTCCAAACAGCATCTCTTGGCTGTTACAGCTGAACATTAGCTACAAATTGATGTAACCTGAGTTACAGTATTACTATCTGGACTGACTTAATGTCCAGGGTTTTTTAAGCCATTTGCAGATAGGTGAGACAATGTCATCATTTCATGAGGAAGCAGAGATGTAACAACCTGATTTGGAAAAGTATAATTTAAACTAAAAGGGATCTTCCCAGTCAGCTAGTGAATAAATACATACATCTGGAAACCCATTAATAACAGGATACTGAACAAACTACCTATAGTCTTCCGCAATAGACGCCAGCAGCTTTCGACACGTCCTGTTATCGAAACGGCTTACACATCGCATCGTCTCTTGCAGCTGAGCCATCAGGTTCTTGTCTTGGAGGTTAATAGCTTCAGCTAGCTGAACTTTCAAGAAGCACACGATTTCATTATCTAATAAAGCACAAAGGAAAATTATTAAGGAAAAGAAATGTAGGCATGATGAAAATAAACTGGTTTTGAATATGGGACACACCTAACAGTTTAAAACAAAACTTCTGTACATTAGGCAATAAGTGTTATTTTAAGAACAATTTAATAAGTCTTTGAATTTTCCAGATATCAAAGGGTAAGTTTTCATACCACTATCTTATGTAGTATTTAGAACCATTCTGAAACGTGAAGAGGACCAGATAAGGTGAGAGTACATGTATTTTGGGAGTCTACTCTACAGCTTCAGCCTCTCCCTGCACTATAACCGAGTTACTTCATTACAAAACAATTAGACCAGATTTAGTTGGCTGGTTTGTTTGTGGGGTAAGAAAGAGAACATTCTGGGGGGCAAAAGGCAGCCTATGCCTTCTATGTCTATGCTAAACAGAAGTTACCAGAAATGATGCAGCACAAGTGCCATTAGAAGGGAGAAAAGAAGAAATACATACAATACAAAATATCTGTATGTATAAAGAACGTTTACCTTCAGGGTCTGTGTGATCTGGCAGACCGTTCCTTGTCGAATGTGTCAGCATCGGGAAGGCAACAGAATCTGCTGAACAAAGAGCCAATCTCAATTTCTTCTTTGCATCCCTTAAAGAGGAAAAATATTTTCTTAAAGTTGCTGCAAGGTCTGCTTCTTCAATAAGCAGTCTTTATTTTTGTTTGTTTTTTTAATACTGCCTAAAAGTTATTTAACAAAATTTTAATACACCAATGTTGTCAAGACCTTAGAATATCAGTTCTTTTGACATAGCACCTAGACCAGTTTCAAAGGAATGTTCCTAAACACTGGACTGCTCTGCCCTCTCAGGTTACACTACCCCCCTTCATCAGTGGAAACACGACAGTCTGAGATGCTTAAAACTAAAAGCACGTAAAAGTTTATAATAGAGCCACATTAAGATTTTTGTGGGAACCAATCACATGGCTTCAGCTTTTAATTCTGCTTTGTGGGTAAGATTAAACCTGCAAATGTATTTACCTGTAGGAGAAAGCCGAACTTTGTGGCTGTGCTACTTGACTTGCAGAGTCTGGGAGATCATCTGCAGACATGTTCTGCAAAGCCTCATCACGTGGAGAGTCATGCATACTCTCACCATCCCCAATAGCCTCTATGGAAATGAAAGAGAGGAGTCAGAAGAAGAAACTAGACTAATATTCTGTATTTTCTTCTTGTTATTCTAACCAGGGGGGAATGGAGACAGCAAATAAAACGACTTGTTCTGAATAAGTGAAAAAAGTATATCAAAAATATACAATCTACAAGTCACTAAGAGGAAACTGCATCAGTTTTGGAAGGAAATATATTTCTTCTGTATCTATTAAAAAAATAAACCCCAAAAATGGTAAGAGATGTGCTATTAACAAACCACCACCTAAATGGCAACATGAAAGAGCTGTCCTTGGGAATACTGATTTAATTCCCAGCTTCTGAGGGACTGTCCCACAGATTCTTTGACAAAATGTTCCTGGTTTAGAGCTCACATTGTTCAGCTGACAGCACTAACATTGGTCTAGAATACAGAAGTGTTTTCATCTTTAAGGAGGAGAACCTACATTGGCAATGATGATAAAAACCAGGTTCTCACCTGCACCATCATAGTTTACTAGAGCTCCTTCACTGGGACTGCTTCGCTTAATTGCATTCCTGTACTTGTCCAGAATGTCCTCCGCAGCTTGGGCCTGCGCACTGAGCCTTGGGCTGGGATCATCTGAAAAGACCATTAAAAACGACAGGAGTTAACCTTCTATTGTGCCATCTAAAAGCAAACACAAAAATTTAGACCTACACATTTGAACTCTGTTTTTAGCCACATCAAACAAATAGCTGCTTGTGTTCCATGTAACCACAATTCAAATATATTTATAAAGTCTGAAGCAAAAGCAGGAAAAAAAAGTACAATGAAAGTGAACAAATAAAGCCAGACCCTTAGCATATTTGTACTGGAGACACAAATGGTTCTGGTATATTTGAAGACTTCGAGAAATGATTAGGCAAACAACACCCAGGTTCAAATCATGTTTGATTTGGCACTTAAGTAATTGCTCCAGGAATGTGTCTGAGGCTGTCCTTACAGCTCAGCTATGATAAGGACACGAAGCATGACCATTTGACATCAGCCTTCAAGGCAAGAAGTCTTTATTCACTTTCTTATTCGGAAAGCCAGTTGTGAATGTTAACTACAATACTGTATACCTTTCTGCTTGTGGCCAGTATGGACCTCTAGAGGGCATGTTATGAGAGAAAATTACTGTGATGAGATTATTCACATACCTTGAAGTGCTGAGTATCTGTCAGGCACCATGTCATCTTTGTCTTTTTCTTGTTTTTCTTTCTTTCTAAATGGAATAGGAGCTGAAAATGCAAGGTACCTTATCAAAGACTATTCTGAGATAATGGCCAGATCGAAGAAACTTTAAGAAAGTGGCTAATGCAGAAATTTGTCATCAAATAAACTTCAATAAAAGCATAAGCCAAAGTCTAATTTCCCCTCACGCTGTGTTACAGGAGATATCCTAAGTTATCAGTACCCTTCAACTAGCACGCTACCATTCCCAGAGAATTAAGACCAGTTCTCAGTGAAGCTGCAATGAAGTTAACACCACACAACCATGAAATGACTGGCCTCACGTAAGGATTCCAAGGTTACCAGATGATTAAGGTAACACAACGCCTAACCAAATTCCTTTTGGCTTACACAGCTCTTTACAGGTACTGCATACTTCGTATTTCAATAATTCTCTCTCTACTGCAACACTTGCATAAATAAAGGCACAACACAGGCAGCATGCACTCTTACTAAAGTGCCAAAACCAGACAGACACGATCCTCCCACCTTTGGGCATGGCAGATGCAAAACGTTTCCTCCACCAGGGCTTGTTTCTGTCAGACTTCTCATCATCACTGTCTTTTCGGTCTTCAATCTGTAGAAGGGCAGAGTCTACATTTGAGCATCTACCATATCAAGTGTAAAGACAAAATTTCTCCTTGACATCAGGTTATGCTACATTGACTGTAAAAGCAGAACTACAGCAGAGCACAGAAAGCCACAGCAGATTAAGTGAGAAATATCCCTCCTGAAGATGGCAGCCTATAAATACAAAACTAAGGACATGAAAAAAAACTTAGATTTCACTTATTTCTTTTTTAAAGAAAATTACTTTTTAGGATGTTGCAGCATTTAAAATTGAAACGCTACAACAAATCAATTTCTGAAGTCCCATCAAATCAAATAAAACTCATCCAGTAAATTTAAGAGAAGCCAGACTCATTTAAACCACTCTGAACATCCGCAGCTTTAGCCTGTAGAACATTAGCGGCCAAGGTTTAAAAGGTAAGAGAAGCGCACTGCAATTTCTTGGCTAAACACATTTAATACCAGCTTGCTGGCATCGGATGCATAACTAAAGTTGGCATGCTAGAAAAATAAAAAATTATAAATAGAAGCCTTACCTCTCCCCTAGAGGAGTCTTTGCTGGGAGATGAAGATGATGACTGAGATGCAGCCACTAGAACAGCTGCTCCAGTGTTGGTGGGCATGGGAAGCTCCCTCTCCTCATTACCCGGACGCCTGTTCCACCCAGGATCACTCATAGGTCTCCGCACTGATGATACGATATCTGAGCTCCTGCTGCGGACTAGCCTTTCTGGGTAAGAATGCCTCTGCTTGAATGCTTCTAAATCAGCTGGAATTAAACTGTGAGAGCCGAAGTTTGGTAATCGGGCCTCATTACCCCCCATAGCTCCTTCCAAGATCGGTGGATCCGGTGGTGGATGGGAGGGTCTTGCATAGTGTACTTTAGGCCTTACTACGGCTGATGCACCTGTGGTCACAAGCATAAAAAGCCACACATATTTATTTTAAGATTCTTCCAAACTAGCTGGGACTAACATAGAAGCATTGAAAATACTTATTTTTTAGAAAAAACTTATTCATTACAACTCACCCTCATTTGATGACAGAGGGTCAAACAATGCAAGTAAAGAATCTGTCTGAGAAGGAGGAGATGTCAACTGACTGGCTCCTGGAACACAGGGGGGAAAGGTTAGCACTGTAACAAGAACTACCTACAACGCAAGGGACAGCCCTCAGTAACAAAAGTTTTAAAAAAATACCGCAAGATATTTTTAAAGATATTCTTATATGTAAAGGTCTCTGCAGTATGCTGAACTGATGAATTACATCACAAAAAGTGGGGAAATCTCGTGGGGCGAACCAATTCCAAAATGCAAGAGGACACTCAATGTAATCAAACCAAATTAGGAAAAGGTGATCTTAGATCTAGTACTCAAGCTCTAGTGCTATAAAGTACTGGAGACCCTTTGTCAAACAAATACAGTACTAGCAAATATGGAAAATGTTAAACTTAACCACTAGAACTTTGGAATGGGGAGAAACTGTAAAATTTAAGGATTCTACAAATGTCATTTGTGAGACCTCAGTTACCAGAGATTGTAATGCTCATTTACAGGTAAGTAACTTACCATGGGCCGTTTCATCCACATCAGGACTTGTCACAGAATCTTTTCCCCCAAAGTCAGAGCTACATTCAGACCTGAGATCCTCAATCTTATTGGGAATATCTTCAGATGTTGCACTAATACCTTACACATAACAAAAGAAGCATCTGTAATACTCTTTCAAAATCCTGAAGCTGTTGAAATGTTTGGTGAACATTACAATTATCAAGTTGTAACTCACAGTAGCACCTAGAGACATTCTGAATTTCTGTACTCCTAAAATAAGATTTTATTTCTGCTCTTCATCTTCAACTGTTTTAACATAGCCATGAATACACTTTGACAATGGGTGTTAGACACTTCTCTCTGTTAAATACTTTGCCGAAAACTAAGAACTGAATTAGATATATGCTGATTTACTTAAATAAAAAACATTGTGATAATAAAACTAAGTGCAAGAAAGTTAGGAGTTTCTTCCAATTCAATATTCACTGCTGTTGTAGCACAGAGTACTCAACATTCTGATGCCTTCTTTATTTCTTATGCAAGATGAATGGAGAATTACTGCTCTGAAAATTCCAGAATGAGTGCAAAAGGTTTTGGATGAAATGATGTATAACTAAAGCAAGTGCAGCAAAGTGGATGCTGATCATGTTCTAATAGAGCAGCAAGTTTTCAGAGACAAACACACCTGATACAACGCTGAGGCCTGGTGTGCTGGGTCGAGAACTGACCTCCCTCACATCCGTGTCATCAGATGTGCTACCCAGCCCAGAACAGCTCTCCAGTTCTTGTAGTCTTTCCTCCTGCTTTAAGTCTGGGGCCTCTGCAAAAGCGAGACAACGGAGAGTAGAGAGAAAAAGTATCCTTACTCAGTGCCATGCTTCCTTAATATTCACATCCAGAGGGAAGGGGGGTATGTGTTGATTTAGTCCATTAAATCCTAAACTAACTCAACCACTCCAGCAGGAGTTTTCCCTCTGTACAGAAGGCAGGGCCCTGCACAGATAGCAATGCTCTATTTGCACAGGCATTCCAAGAAGTTTTTACTGTTTTAAGTATTGTATTTCTCATGGCAACAGCATACAGTCAAATCTTCATTAACCTGTGATCACAGACAGCCTTACTTAACATCACAGCAAAGGAAAGCAAACAGAAGTTTGCTTTGCAATCCCTTCTCTTTCTTCTTGGCCCTCAAGAATTTAAGTAACAGTAAGTCTCTCACAATGCCTTCCACCTTCTCTCTGCCCAGGAACAGTTTGTCCTTTTAATACTGGAAGTATTCACAAACAGTACCTTAACCTAGGACAATAATTTATTGAAGAAAGAGAGCAAGAGGTTGTTGCTTTGCATTATATGCCCCTGGAAGAGTCTTGATTCATGCTACAGAAATAAACACAAAGGGCACGATTCTGACCTGAATCACTTGGTAACACTTCCACACTCCACGCCTCACTTGTGGTTTCTGATATAGTTGAACCTGTGCAGGGATCAAGCAACACGGATCCTGAACCTGGTAAACACAGCAAGCTGCCTAGCATGTTCTCTGCAGCTGCACCTGCAAAAGTAAAGCCAAGCGTATAGCTAGGTATAGGCTTCCCGGAGACAGCTCTAACAAGAGAGAAAAATAAGAACACATTTTTTAAGTGTTCTTAATAAAGTAATCATGAAAGACAATGTCGAAAAGATAGAAATGAGCAACCAAATATGATACGAGCCATGCACACAAAACCCTTGTACAGAAAAGCTCCAGTTTAATCAGCAAAACCACACCTATTGAGAAAGGGAGGAGGGTTCTGCAGCCTCACTATTTGAGAGCAAGCACGAAACATTTTAACATACCAGATGTATACCGAGTTACCTGCTATTTCTTGCAAACGATCTTCATCGATATTTGGATCAAAGTCACTTCCCAAGACATCTGTACTCCAAGTTTCGCTCACAGTTTCTGATATATCTCTGTCATCAGTCAATCCCATCATGTCACGGATTTCAAATTTACGGAGCTTGTCATCGAGATTATCCTGAGTTGTGGCTATGTAAAAAACCAAAAAGTTCTAATTTTTTAAAAGGCTTCTCCAACTACTTCTGGTTCAAATTAGAAAGAAAAAAACTCAAACAAAACAACCCTCTAACTCTGTCAGATAAGACAATGTTTTAAAGTAAGGCCTGTAAAGCACAACTCTACTATTCAACAGATGCTGCCTGAAAACAGTTCTAAGCACATTTGAGACAAATCTTAAACTACACATGGTGACCTATCAACCAAATTGACAGACAAAATGAATGAAATTTATCACACTATCAAGAAACCAATACAATTCCTGTAAGGAGAACTTATCGCGAAAAAGCTGAGGCTGGAAGGAACCTCCAGAGATCACCCAAGTCCAAAGCCTTTGCACCTGCCTTGTTCGTGCTCTAACAGCTGCAGAGCTTCAACACCGTTGCTCCCGGAGGGGCCTGCGCCAAGCTCTGACACTGATTCCGCTTCTAAATCCAAAGATGACACAGAGTTGGAGCGATTTGAAGGACCTGTGAAAACAGATTTTACTGTAAATCTAATTTGAATAACAGTTCCTAAATATACAGCACTAACAATCCAGGACAGAATTAACTAGAAAGATTAAAAGAAATGAAGCAGCAGTTTCAATATAAAACACTGAACTGATGAACTAAATGTACATTCGCTCTAGTCTTGATCCATATCCTTTAGATACTTAACCTGCACTGTGATTTGTACTTCCTATGTTTAGAGTACTATCCTAATTCTAATAATCTACAAATACATTGCCAGAAACGGCTGGAATCTCACCATTACCGTACATAACTGTAACTAAAACATCAATAAAGTCTTTGCCATTAATTTGTTAATTTGTCCATGAATTTGTTTTCTTATTTTGAGGAGAGAGATAGTAAAAACTAAATTATGGAAGTTACACAAAATAATGCATGCTTAGTGATCTGTACAAACATCTGCAATATCACAAACAAACCTGTGCTTTGTTGTGTCTGAGGTTCATATAAAAAAATCGTCCAGAGTCCCAAAACTATTCTGAGATATGTAACATCTTATTAAAACATGATGAAAAACAAGTCTGAAAAGTCTAAGTTTAGAGCTAAGTTAGATTATCTTAATAATTAGCACTGCATTTATTTATTTTTTTTTTTTTTAAAATCCCAGTTTTCTCCTTCTAAATACACTTAGTTTTTTTCTTCCCAATTCTCAGACTCATTTGTGCCTTTGAAGGTCAAAATTTAGATCCAGACTTTTTTATTTGAATGGCTAAGAGAAAAGACAGGCTCTCAGGGTAAGATAGCAGAGTCTTCAAAATGGCAAAGATGACATGCTGCATTGAACAGAAGTTCCCTTTATATTTAAGGGGGAAAGAAAAAAAAAAAGGGACAAAACTTCTTCAAGACTTAAGTAGCCCTTCACCTTCAGATATTCCTTCCAGATTATCACTGCAGAGGGAAAAGCGCAAGGTTTTATCAGGTTTACCATGGAGTTTGTTTTCATCAACTGGGACATCTCCTTGTCCGCCATCTGCAAGCTGCATATTTAAGACCTAGAGAGTGGGGGAAAGAAATAAGACTTCCTTAAAATAATTTATATTTTGGATAATCAAATAGTAAACAAAACATTGCACACATTTTTTGCACTGTTCTCCCTAGATGTGAATGGCACAAGCATATTTCTAACATGCCGTCTGAAAAAAGACAGCTATCTCCAAAGTCACTGCCTGGAGAGAATGTAAAATAACCAAGGTGTGAACAGAAGGCAAGTCCTGATAATAGTGGAGCCACCGCTCCCTCATGCCCCCAGTAGAATAATATAATATGGAAACTGATCATTACGAGGCTGCAAAAAGAGATAATTTGAACCACCAGGCAGGGCAGCAAAGATGAAAGCAGAAGCTGTGCTACAGCTGGCGAGAGGCAGGGCTGTAAAACCAGCCTTACCCTAAGCGACAGAATCTGAAGGCATTCACGGCAACACAACCACAGCTCCGCCCTCGCAAGAAGCTGGGTCTGTGCGGTTCTAGTCTGAGCTGCCAAAACCGTCAGGACCGGTGTTCCAGTTCTGTCATTCACCTGTGCCACTCGATCCAAGGGACAGAGCATGCACAGAAATAACTGAATCGGTTTCTTCAGGCTCAGAAACAATAGCCTAAGTTTGCTCTTAAGCATGCTCGATGGCAAAGCCTCCTCATAAACCTGCCAAGTTCATTTTTCCCGTGTTAATACACTGCTTTTCACACCTTGCAGATATACTAAGTGAGGAAAAAGGCCTTCTAACAAAGAGAAATCTGAAAGCTACAGCCCCCAAGTTAAGTAAAATGAAGTAAGGATTTTAATTCCCACCCTGAATTTATTACCCGAGCCTAATGTCACAACTTCATTGTTCTGAGAACACAGAGGCTGTACTTTTCAAAATATCTGAGACGTGACAGTTTTCGCATACCTCATTTTCTGACATCATTCCTGGAGTAATCTGTGGACCTGTCCCCAAAGAAATCACCAGCACTTCTTCTGGCTGAACTTCTGGGATAGTCTCCTGGGATGATCCTTCATGATCTCCGTGCTGATCCATTAAAATATTTGATCTACTTCTGCTACGAGTTGCTAAGAAAATATTTTTAAATATCAACATTAGAAAGCTTTTCCTTGTTTAAGGAAGGCAAAAAGACAATACAATGGAAATACAGAAAGGCAACGTTTTGAATTAATAACACGCATACTAAATAAACTTTCAAAATTAAAAGTCACCTTAGGCTCTGAGAGATGGAACTAGGGTTTACACTTGAGTACTGAACTGTGAAAAAGCAAACTTTCAACAGAGAAGTTTGGGGAAATCAGGAATACTATGCCCTGTTTACCTACACAAACTCAGTGTATTCCAATCACAAAAAGACTCTTTGTAAATTAATTGAGAAAATGAAGAAGTTTGTTACCAAGAAAAAAAGGTCTAGGTTCCTGTGGTTTATAACTCTGTTTAATCAATTTATTTTGAATTTTTTCTTCTAAAAAGCAGGGAAATCTTATTCTAACAGGTGTCTCAAACCCAGACGCACAATTCAATATCAGGTGGTTTACTTTGATTATTTTGTGACTCCTTATTAGTCTTTTCAAGTAGCCTCATATTCCCACGCTTGGCACCGTGGAGGGAAAAACGCCCACACGGAATTAAGATCTCTAAGTACGGCAGCATGACACCAGTTATTTCTTCATTTGATCCGGGGAGGGCACAGCTAAATTCTGATTATCACACAAAGGCACACAGGGTGTTTTTAAAAACTAGACATACGAACATGAAATGAGTTCCACAGAGAAATCAATGAAGAAATCTGGAAAAGTAACTGATTGCCAAAGTAAACCGAAGGCATGCTTAAGTCATGTGTTATAAGAGAAGAACGGAAAGAGGGCATTACCCACCAAAAGGGGTTACTAGAGTTATATGAGCTGAGAGATTGGTAGCAGAAGCATCCCAGGCAGTAATGGCTGCCAATTGCTGTCCTGGATTTCGAAAGCATTAAAATGAAACAAAAGAAATAAAAACTTTGAGCAAAACCTATTTTATACCATAAAATAAATGCTGTTGTGCCACTGCGTTATAGGCGAAAGACCAGAATCATTCAAGTTAAAACAACATGGGACAGGTTGGTGGGGGGCTTGGTTTTGCAGGGGCTTTTTTTTGCCACTTTTCGGGGTCTGCATATTTTCATCCTGCCACATGCTAACACCAAATCTCTCAAACAAGTAAAAATATCCCATGTGGTCATATTCATGTAAATACACACTGAAGAAGAGCACCACGCTTCCTATTTGAAGGGAAAATATTATTGAAATGGAAAAGTTCAAGACCCAGAAATCCTATTCAAAAAGAGGACAAAAACCCAGCAACCATAAATTGCATTATAATATACTAACAACTGGAATCAGACCAGGCAAACAGCGGAGAGAGAAGAAAGCTCTTCTCAGCACTTACTCTAAAAGTTCTGCTCTTGCTTTTTCATCTTCCTCCACATTTGCTCTCAAATACAAAAACTTATTCTATCCCACTAATTAAATGTCATCACTTCCATCTTACCACTTTCCTAAGCAATCTTCCCTCCCAGATCTGCTTCCCATCTTCATACTTTCCCTTTATTACCACTGCACTGGGGTGACTACCAACCACTCCAGCATTTTTCTCAAGTTCAATCCGAAGTAATGAAGCTCACCCTACTGACATCAGAAAGGAAGGAAGTTACCTGGCTTTCTATACAAAATAAAATTCTTCACCATCTACACAGAAGAAGTAGGAACTGAAGGTGTAGTCGAAGAGTAACCCCATGAGATGACTGAAAAAATGGCACAGAAAATGTATCAAGGTATCAGGAACCACACAAGAAGTCTGCTTGCTCTCCTTACCTATTGGTAATCGATTTTTTTTGTTAGCTGGAGTAGTTGCAGGAGAAAGTTGTGGGGTATTATACGGAGTCATTTCCAGGCTGCTGCTTTTCCCTGGTTTGTTCTGGGGTAGGTTTGCCAGCAAGTTTTCCAACGCCATCCGATCTTCCTTAAGTTGATCGCTTGACATTACATTCCGCATAAAGCCAACCTAAAAATTTAGAATTAGTTAGGAAGAATCGCAGTGTAAATTATCAGCCTTGTTTATCCCATCCGTAAACACACGGGGACAAGTTTATACAACTTCTTTCAAAGAACTTAGGATCTTACCAGAGTAGTCAGCTGGCTGTACGTCATGTAAACTACTGTTCTACTCAGCCCCTCCAGAAGGTTAACAGCAGACATGGGAGGTGTTTCAACCGCACGCCCATCAATAACTACATCCAGGAAAGCAGCCACACAGCTCTGCAAAGAGAAGAAATGGTTTTTAAGTGAGAGAACATTTACTGGAGTTTGGAAAGAACATATGTAAACTACTTAATTCTTGTCACAACTCGACAGTGTAAGGTTTGCTTCCTACTTTTCAAACCTTAGGATAAAATACCACCTACCATTAAAATCACCAAAGAGCAAGCAAGGAAAGCATGCAGTTAGTTTCAGCATTTCCTTCCCTTCTTTTCTGCATTCAAAAGCGTTACTTACTTGTCTTCTTACAATTTTTTAAAAAAATTAAACTGTTTTATGGCAATTACACTGCCCCTTCCCAAAGAATCTGCTGAGCACAGACTTAAAGTGAAACAAGGAAGCAACACATAAGATCACTTTGTAATCTGATTGAATGTTACTTGTGTAGTAAATGTGTAACTTTGTAGGATGACTGTGTAACAGCTATAATTAGCAAAAATCTGGTTACACAAGCAAATCAATAGTTTTTTAAACATATGACAATACATCAAAGATCCTTAGTTGCACTGTTTCTCTGATGAAGCTGATTTCAGTATTGCTATGGATGATTCATACTAACAAAGGAAAAGCTGAACAAAAAAAAGCAAAACTACGCAAAAAAGGAACAGAACTCACTTGCACTAACAAATTACTTGATGTTAAACCAGATTTCACACAAAAGTTGTCTTCAGAGCCAAGTCTTTTCTTTAGGTTCAGTAGAAAAACCACAGACAGTAATTCAGCATTTCAGTTTAAAAGGTTAACTTGCTTTTATTTCTGTTTTGTCTTTTCTTTTAAGAAGTATTATGTCAGAGTAGAAGCAAGAATCCCTAACTCTTGGTTCTAGTTCTCAAGATCCTGTTCCCAGGTTTCTGCAGGATTTAATCTGCTTTTCAGTACATGTAACTTGGAAGTTAACCGCTTAGTAAGTCCTTTGCAATGTCTGAAAAAACGAGACTTCAGAATGATGAAGTATAGGAGTCTTAGCTTTTTTTAGTCTGGACTCTTACTTTGTCAAATTTAGCAAGGTTGCTCTTCGTGCGTGGATCTCCCTCTTCAGAGCCTGTCATTGCCAACTGCTGCAGAAGTCTCCCAACCTGCAATGAGAGAGAAGAATGAAGAATAAGCATTTCAAAACAACATCATGGTGGACCTGATTATAAAAAAAGTTAAGCAAATGCCTCTATTCTAAATTTTTTTTCATTTAATACTCTGAGATACACTTCTGATTGAGTTGGGTCTTGTTACTTGCTTTCAGGGCAGAAAAAATGTAAGAAGCTTTAAAAAAAAAGCAGTCATTGCGTTTAACAAGAAAGTCTGCACACACAGTATGCCGTGAGCATCCATACTCCCCCCCTCCCAGGAACAAAGCATGTTTTGTTTTTACAACACATCAGAACTGAGAGTTGAATCTAGGTCATCTTAAACATAGAGATTTTAAAAGGATGTAAATGTTTTACTAAGAATGTATTGGCAGAAAAAGAAAAAAAAAAGGGCTAACCCTTGTTTCAGAGCATATATTCCTTATTAACCTCCAATTGCAAAACTCTCCATTTTAGAGTTGCCAACTCAAGTTCTGCTACAACACACAAGCAGTGACACAGGAGAGGACTGCTGATGTATTGCAGGAAAACACTGGCCAGCTCCTGTTAGTAACAGTCTAGCGAAAAAGACTCACCAGAATGAGAATCATTTGCTGTCCAGTTCACAGACAACATTAAAAAGCAGGTTTTGTTACTTGTGTGAGGAACACCCTCAGTCAGACAAGTGTTGCTCAACACCCTCAGCCCACACCTCGACACCCCGTCATTACATTGCCCAGGTATTTGCACAAAGGTGAAAACTTGTCACGAGGGCTGGGGAATACTCTAAGGTCTAATAAAACAGCAGGTGGCTACCCAGCAGGAACGGTGGACGTTGGGGCCAGACAAGAAAGTTTTCTCAGCAAAATATTTCATTATTTTGTGCAATATGTGGCATAATATTTAACATTAGCAAGAACAGCACAACATCCATTGACACACATTCCAGAAGTCATCATATAGTGGCTTTTACACTTTAGCTTCCATCCCTTTATAAAGTACATTTGCAAGTCTTCCAAGAGAGAAAGGATCACATGCTATCAATTTTAAGTCTGTATTTTAAACAAACAGATAAACTCTAGAGCATGCCTTTTCAGTAATGATAACACAAATATTTTGTTAGCATTCGCCTTACAGGTAGGAGGGACAGTACCTTTCCCTTTACTGCAGTAACATCAGTTCAAGTGAAAAAAAAAAAAAAAGAAAAAAAAAGGCCAAGAACATTTTTCATATATTTTTTTAAGACTACTTTAAAGTGAATCATACCTGCATCAGATTAAATCTTGCCACCTCATTTATAGGAGCATCAGAAATGATCCCATACTGTTCTGGGTTAACAATTGCAGGACAGATGAAACATGCTAGAAGAAGATCTGTGCACATTGCTCTGACCTCCCCAACCTCCAGCCTGTCTACACACGAGAGCGTTTTGTACATTTGTGACACAATCCATCTCAAGCTGTGAGGAAAACAGTAAGTATTTTGTTTGAGATAACCAATAAATTTGTTCACCAAGGTCACCAGCTTGGCCTCATTGGAGTCAACCATCTCTTGGACTCTCTGCTTGAACTTTTCTGTGCCTTTCTCTCCAAATAACTTTTCCTGCTGTGCTGGGGAGAATCTCTCAATTAACTTGTTTGGATCAGTTTCCAGGTGGTCTTCATCTTCAACCAGAAGCTGCATGATTGGCTCATGTAAAGTTGCAGTAAGAAAAAGTTTTGCAGAAAAGAGTCCTTCAGAGAAAAGTTTGAATAAGATGCTGAAGGCACAGGTGCCTCGTCTCAACAGCCGCCTCGGGTTGTCGCTTTCCTTGAGTTCAAATTCAATCAAGTACCGGAGGACCTGGAGGAGGTAGCTCTCATCCTCCTGCATGATGCAGTTGCCATAAATGGAGGTAAAGACCGTGTGAATGACGCTCTGAGTGTTGTCCTGGTTGAGCTTCTCTCCAGCAACCAGGCAGGATGCAATAAGCCTAGGGTTCTCTCTCAATCTGTTTAGGAATTCTCCGTAAGCAGCCTCCTGAAATCCCAACTGCTTATATCCATCCACAAACTGCGTGTCCTCCAAGATTTTAGCATGCTGGCAACATTCAGCAGCAGAAGCTTCAGCACTTTAAAGGAAAAACATTGAAACAGCTTAAGTAACTCTTAAGCAAACAAACTCCATAAAAGATGCCACATGGTCAATCTATCAACAAAACTACCACCAATGAAAAAAGCAAAACAAACAGATACATTAAAAAAGGTAGCTTAAACAGCCAGGTGAGTCAGATTCCCTACTTGAGATTTGTTTTAAAAACTTACTGGTTTTATAATCAGTACAGCAAAGGCCCCCAGACGGTAAGCATGAAAAATCTGATGGATGTGGTGCAATTCACAGAAGTTTAAGAGCTTTTTCTGCCCAGGACCACCCCCACCTTCCCCAAGTCACCTTGTTATGATCAGTCTGTCCAAGTTAATCCTTTGCTGCTTGGAAATCCATGCTGTGCGGTACAGCTTTTCAGCAGTCTTCAGGACGTCTGCGTTGAGCCTTTGAATGAGTTGCTTTTCTGAGTTCACATACAGTCGCTCCTGCTTGAGGTGATGAGCTAGCGTGTGTATATCCAGCTTCACCATCTTGGGCAGCAAGGAGGTTACACAGTACTCACTGAAAGAAAGAAAAGCAAACAGGTGAGTCCCAACAGTTAGGGAATGAGCTCTGTCAGCCCTGATGAAGGGAGAAGCAGGTCACAAACTTACACTTAGCAGTAAAAACTGCCGTGCCCCTTCCACGCTAGCACATTAATGCGTTCTCTCAAACACACAGCCCACCGCTTAATGACTGAGTCACTCCTAATGCAAGGTTTCCTAATTGACAATTTCATTAACCCCTTGCTACGTCAGCACATCAGGGACACTTGCATAGCAGTGAACGATATTTTCAACTCCCACTGCTGAACTGCAATAGTAACAGAGCACAGCACTACAAAACCCTGCACCACACCTCCCCTACAGAAGAGAAGAAACTGGCCGTTACTGGGAGAGATGTGGCCATTGCTACAGCCCAGGTGACACAAGCTCAGGGGGATGAAGAGGAGACTCCAACCCACTGTCTGGTGAATAAACAAAAAGATTTCTGCGCTTACTACTTTGTGCTGAAGCACGCCCAGGTAACGCAGCAGTACCCAGCTACGTGGGTGTGCTCATCTCTGCCCCATTAACACATATGCCCTCCCTCACTTCTGTATAAGAAGCACCAAGTTCCCCATACTGGTCTTTTCTGCTAGAAACTGTTAAATAACAGTAATAATACTACTAATTAAAAAAAATAAAATCAAATCAAGGAGTATCAATACCCAGACAAGGCAGAAGTTGGAAATAAGTCTGGACACTCTGCTCAACAGTAGAATTTATTCAGAAAAAAATTCCTTAAATGTTTAAATTCAGAAGAATATTTCTTTGGGCCACAATCCAAAACTGAAAGGACCGTAGGCTTTCATAGCACATCAGGGAGAAAAATCTACACAAACCACTCATGTCTCAATGTAACATCAGCTCTAACTTCCTAATCAGAAAACACCTTTGTGACCAGCTAGCAGCTAGACAAACACAGAGCACCACACCACTCAAAACAAGCTCAAGGAGCTAAACATCTAAAAACTAACTCTATGGAAGAAAAAAACCACCAATTGCATTAATGCTGACAAGGGAAGGGGCAGAATCATGCTGATCAGATTATGTTTCCATGGAATTAATGATTAACTGCTTTATGTCTTCTTCCCCACCAGAACAGCCATACTAGCTGATTTGGGAAGAAAAGGGGTTTGATGCAGATACAATCTGTAACAGCTATCTGTCGGATACATTGGTAACGGATAAACGTCAGAGCTGCCAAGGGATCTGGTGATGAACCCTTCAAAGCCATGCCACGGTTAAATGAAAAACCCACTTCCCGCAACCTGCAGTGACTCGAGGAGCCTGGCTTCACAGGGCCATGTGGTCCATGCTTGAGACACTACAAATAACGCACCACGCACTGGCCTCAGGCTCTCCCTTTTAGTGTTTGAAAGGTCTGTGGTTCATTGCCCAGCACGGCAGGAGATGATCCTCTCTGAGGAATAGATTAGCTCCCTCATTAGGTACAGGTTTTACATTTGTTGGGTTTTTTCCAGTTTATGGAGAAAGCCTGATAACCTGGTGCACTGACAACCATCACCGCTCCTTGCACGTGGAATTCAGTTCTTGCATCCAGAGCTTTAACCTCACAACTGAAACCCTAGCAGAGACAAAAGGAGATGCTGTCACAAGTCCTTACACATGAAACATTGCAATTTTATCACACCTGACAGTTTAAAAGTAATTCCTAGCAAATACAGACAACCATATATAAAATAAAAACCCCCAAACCTCAAAAAAACCCCAAAAAACCCAAACAGAAAAACCCAGCAAACCTAACCAGTGGTTACAGCTCATGCATCCAAAGATGAGATTAAGCGAGGAACTTCAAGGACACAACTATTCAGATGTTTTTAACTAGGACAGTCTCAGAGAAATGATTAGAAAAAGAAACACTGATGTTGCTGCCAAAGTTCTTTGAGAAACAAACAACAACTTCTTGCAATAAATTTATTTTTAGTCCCAGAATTTTAGGACTCACAAAAAAAAAAAAAAAAAAAGAAAAAAAAGAAAAAGAAAAAGCGTTAAACTTGACACTGCCTGCAAACACAGTAATGACTAGTTATTGGGCTATGAGCTATTGATATCAGCCAGGAAAAAGAAGTTGCATCCATAAAAACTCACAAACACGAGATCTGCAGAACTACCATCGATCTTTTCAGGTGCTTTCCGCTGTAAGGCTGTACTTAAGGGTTGCGCACAGTTTATCAAACCTTAACAGTTTCAGCTGACATTTTCCATTTCAAGGTGTCCACCCACAGGCTCCGCTTTTCTGGACAGAAAGTTAGTCCAAGCGGTTCTCCTGCTTGCGATCAAGTTTTGGGAGGGAACAGGGGACGCAGATGGGGTACCCCCTGTGAAGAGCCTGTTGACTTCCCCTGCGTTACTACGCCTTTGCCTTGCCAAATTTCAAAACAAGTTTCTATTTTTGTGTCACTCGTTATAAACACATTTAACAGTAGACAAGCAGATTAAATGGCTCCTGAGGCATCCCATGTACTTACAAGTAAAGCTATTTCTCTCACTGCTTCGCTCTTTTTATTTTTCTTTTTTTTTTTTTTTTTTGATTAGAGAAGACGTTTTCAGCATCAGGGATGGGCTAAGCACTCTGACACCTTTCATCCTCGGAGGAAAGACTGTTCTTTTCTTCCCTGGCCCACAGGTGGGAGTGAACTCCAAAAGCCCAGGCAATAAAAGTCAATTTTTTTTAAACTACTTGCCACTGTGAACATCAGGCCCAAAACAAAGCAAGGCTCCGCAGACCACCATTACCTGCACCTGCACTCCTAAATATACTGATCCCACGACGGCTCGATAACACCCTGTCACTTGGCCACTGCTCGTGTGTCCATCTTATCCGTCCCGACTGTAGAACACCATAAATAAGGAAAGCACGAGGAGAACTGATTTGGAACCGAACCACAGCAGGTTAATAAGTACCCAGTCAAGAGCTATGAAAATACACAGGATTTTCCTGTCGATCCACAGGAAGTCAACTGCACAGCAGCAGTGCTTACCCTGTGTACAAGAGAAAGGGATCAGCAACTTCCTCATCTTTATAATCCTCCACACAAATTAAACTAATTTGATTGCTAGTGATTGCTACTGCAACACACCTCTGTGAAGAGGAATGCCTCATTCACCCCCGTTTACCAGCTTTTAAAAATGAGTTACTCTGAAGTCACACAAGTACAGCAACAGCGCAAACAACTTTGTCTTCACCTTAAGTTTCTGCCAGACACTTGAGAGCCCGAGAGACGTAAAGCAGGTCGTTTCATACCACGGTACTTCAGCAGGCTTCAGACGGGCTCTAAAAAAAACTTGCAACATAGTAAAGAAAACCCAAAAAACCTAGTTGAGCAAAACACACACGCTATTACTGTCTTCACATACTGATTTTATTAACACAGTCTGTCCTGAAAGAATAAACTCTTGTACCACTAACACACCTACACAGCACACACTGCTCCCCTCCAAAAACCTCTCCTCTCTACGACCAGTACAGAGAGACCACAGTTGTATTCTCTGACCTTCCCAGGCTACACAACACTCGCTCCCCGCCAGCACTCGGTCCAAGAGCTTCAGGAGCAATTAGCCACAGTTACGTATTTGGTAACACACCGCAGAAGGCAGCATTAGAGCAGAGCGGCCAGCAGCAGCTTCAGCTGGTACTAATTCCAGAAAGTTGTTTGTCAGATTACCTTATCAGTTTCCCATAAACAAAAAGGTGCCCATAATTATCCAATGGCCTAGTTTATGAATACCAGGCACCTACTTGAAGTAACAGATGTCCACGGGTTTGTATAAAGGAGACAGTTCAGGAAATTCAGATATCCAGCAGTCTGTTGTGGCTGAAGAAACAACAGATATTAAATAGCTCCTGCTATGTGCAAATTATTGTTCAATCCTGGCAATTTCATTCTGATGTCAAAATATTTCAGACTTTCGTCAGTTATTTCAAGACTGCTCAGTAACCTACCAGAAGCTGTGACACAGTAGGAGAAGCTTGGCACTGCAATTCAAACAATTTCACTTTGTGATGCTCAACAACAAAGACTGCGTAACCTGACAGCATCCAGGATGTTTTGCCCTGCTGTCAGCATGACCAAAGTTTGCTCAGAACCCAAGACAATCTATGCCTTTGATGAATCCAGGACAGAGATTGCTTCCTACATTTAAAAGTCCTGGAAAACGCTGCATTTAATCCTCAAGTACTGAACTCCAACTTACAAAGGACATGGTTTTGTACTGTGGCATATAGGAACAAGCAACATCTCTACCGAATATTCCTGCAGTTCAGGTGACAGAAAAGAGATGAAGCAAAGCAGTAAATGGTGCTAGTATACCAGGTTCTTCTTCCTCCTCCAGCGCTGCCTGCTCAGGGTTATTTGCTCCTCCTGAGTCTCACCATGCAAAAACTTCCAAAGCAAGTTAGGGCAGATCTAATGTAGGCAGGGCAGGGCAAGGCAAAACTGAAATCACTCCGTCTTACTGAAAAATAATTCCTAAGCAGGCTTGAATAGCTTCCATGCTAGTTCTCCCTGGATGAAGTACCTCTTTCTTCATTAATATTTACAGCAGTAACAAGCCTTATTTCTATATATAAGCTAACAGCCTACCTTCCAAAGTTTGGATAAAAAAATCCATTTTTCAATAGGACAGTTCACCATGACCTAGGAATTAACTGCTGAACTCTAACATTACCCGCCATCTCAAAACATGCGTACAACATGCAAAATGCATTTCAATTTGCTACAGCTCAACTATCTAATCAATATTAATAAGAAACTCATACCTCAAGTTTGTTTCTGCCCAGTGGCTGCTCTGCAGCTCGCACTGACCATACTGCCTATCCAGCAGGATTTCTGTGCAAGGAGCACCCAGCTCCTCATGCCCCTCAACAGAACTTAGTAACGCACAGGACCAGTTGGCTACTGAATTATCTATTATGGTATCACTGTGTTGCATAAACTCACCATAAGCATA